AGCGAGAGAGAGAGAGAAATATCAGAAGATGCTATGCTTCTGTCTTGAAGATAGAGGAAGGGGCCACAAACTGAAAATGCAGGCAACCAGGCTATTGCTAGAAAAAGCAAGGAAACAGATTATCCCCTAGACTTTCTAGAGAGAACACAGGCCTGCCACCATCTTGACTTTAGCCCACTGAAGCCGATTTTGAAGTTCTTACCTCCAGAACTGTAAGATAACATATTTGTGTTATTTTAAGTGGCTAAATTTTTGGTAAATTGTTGCAGCAGCAATAGGAAACTAATATGCCAACTAAATAAAAGCTTAGACTATATATCTCTTTTGCAAACAAGTGAATAATATTAGCTAGGTAGGTTTCAAGCTTCAGAATTCTAGCTGTTGCCAAAATACAATGACTTCTCTTATTTCCACCAACCATGACAGAAGCCTATTTCCCCCTTCACTGCACCTCTGTTCACTGCACCACTGTTTGCTGACTATTCCTGTTTGATGTGACTTTTTGACAAGCAGTCTTGGCAGAGAGAAAGCTAATTGACTCAACTAATTTATGTTTTCCTCAAATGTTTGGCTTTCTTTGAGCTTAGCCATGTGTATTAGTTTATAAAGTTTAAAGTTTAAAAATACATTATGTTGTGACCTTAAAAATTGCAAAGAAATTCTTTTTTCAGTCCAAACCAACCAGAATAACATATTTGTTTTGAACTTTCAGAGAAACCTTAATAAGGCCCCAGCCTATGATTTCGCTCTCTGTGAATTATCCAACAGAGAGGTTGCTCTCCACAGTGCTGGGTACCACACAGCAGAGGATCTAAAATGTTTGCTATTCTGTTTCTCTGACATAATTTTTGTGTTCGACTTTTGTTTTCTTGGATCTAGATACCTTTAAAAGAGTCTCATGCTTGCCTGTCTTTTCATAGTCTAATTCTTAAAAACCAAAATGTAGTCACATCAGTAGCAAAGAGTTCAAATCTATTCTTAGATCCCACTTTCATTCTTGGTTTTCTTTAGAATCCTTAATTGAAATTGACAGGGTTAAAGAAAAATGTAAAAGAAATATTGAATTTCCAGTATTATTACAATATCTCAACTTTTACTTCTAGCATCATCCATTTTTGTAACATTTCATAGAGGTCAGGGAACCACATTCTGTTTTCTTTTTTTGGACCTCCCTCCGCCCGATGGTAAAACTGAGATATCAACCCCAAAGATGTGTGAACGTTTGACTGTCCCCATCTAGTACTCTCCTTATGTTTGGGGACATATCCCTCATGGTGAGTCTTAGAACGCTTTAAGCGTTGCACTAAGCTTGGTTCAAGATAACCCCTTGTAGCTGAGGGGATGAGATCAGCCCACAGAAAACTGTGTGGATCTTGTAGAAAGCTCATCTTCAAGTGCTCTTATTGAATCACATGGTCTTAAAGGTCAGAAGAGGGGAGATTTAGTGACCTATAAATTGGGTAAGGAGAGCTTTCCACTGAAAGGAGTTCTTGAGTCCTGCCTTAAGAGATGGCTAGTGTCTGCATAAAGGAGAGAAAAAAAATGGCATTCTAAATGAGTAGGTTAATTTAACAAAATATTTAAAATGGTCTGAAATGGTATGACCCAGTAGGGAAAAGTTGACTCTAGTCTCAACTCTGCACAATCAGGACTAATGATGCTTTTACCTCAGATCTTATCACTGGGGTATGTACAATTCTTACTGAAGAATTGCTCCAAGCTTCTTCAGGTCTATTTCAACATCCTTTTTCAAACCTCTGTGCCCTTATGTATCTCATGTCCTCTGCCTAGAATGTTGTTATTTTCCCTGGTAATCCTGCCCCATTAGCTCAGAAAATTCCTACATGTTTCAACACTCAAATATCACTGTTCTAACTTGCCTAGGTAGAATTAGACTCCTAGGTTTTTGAGATAAGCTAAACATATCTACAAACTAACACTTAATACCTCTACAAATGTTCCCATGACCAATTTTTGTTTGTTTTTCTGCTGGAATATTTACAATTCCAGGTGTCATATTATTTTAACTCAAATAATTCAGTATGAATTTCTTAACAGATAAGAACTTTATGAAAAAGAACAATACCATTGTCACACCTCACAAAATTAACAATAACTTTAATATCTTAATATCCAATCTATATTCAGTTTCTTTAAAATAAATTTAGCTGACTGTATCCTCATGTGAGGCTTCTAAGGCAACAATCCGTGTTAACATTTTACCATTGGAGTACCTTAATGCTGCCATTTAATCTCATTGCAGAACCTCTGATAGTCTATTTTAGACGCACAGCAAGGACAAAATTTAAAATAGAAAATACAATTTAGATAAAATAAAATTTCAGCCTTGAGCATGAATCACAGCATAGCCTTGGATCTGTTAAATAGTGTACTCTTTTGAGCCATTTCTTCCAGGCAAATCCATCTTGTCTATGAGTGGTCTGAGAAGGACAGCCAGAGAGCAGTTGTTGGTGGAGCAGGCCCCTGAGGGTAGGAGCAAGACTCTCCCAACAGGTCTCTCTCTCGAGGCATTTAGACTATAGGCATTAATGGTCAAACCAAGTGAATTTTTAAAAAAACCAACAAAAGCAACAAGTTAGAATACATTTCTCACTGCTGTTATTTATTTCTATGGCAAGGGACTTCAATTATTTTAACATTCCTGGACTCAATGATCCTTTTCTTACTCTGCCTTGCAGGGGTGGTGGGGGTGGAGTAGAGTGACTTAGTTGGTATTTACATTTTAGAAGAATAAACTATGCATGTTTAACTATTGTCTTTCTTCTTCTTGGAGCTAGGCTCCCACAGGGAGTAGGAGGTCTTTGCTCCTCCATGATGTAACCTGGACAAGTCTTCACCCCTGTAGAACACTGCATCTAAGTGGGTAAGTCTTAGCAGTTCACTTTGCAGGCCCTTTTGACTTGCATTCTACCTATGGACCCTAATATAGCCTTTATCAAAAATCAAGATGATGTTTTGGTCTCTATATGCTCTATTCCAAGTTTTACTTCTCAGTTGTTTCAGAACCAAGTTGGAGATGAAGGGTACTATTTTGGGAGTTTCCTCAAGACATAAATAATCATAAAATATTATGTTAATATACTGCTATACTCTATTGACTAATATTTTACATAGACTTTTATACTGATATTTGTAAGTAGGATTAATTTGTGGCTTTCTTTTAAAGTTTTTGTTGCCAATCATAGACTAGCTTCATAAAAAGAATTTATAAGTTTAACTTCTTTTTATTTTCTATGCTCTGGAATAATTTAAATAGTATTGGAACTATCAATAATTTATATTTTTCTAAAAACCATCTTCTTAATTCAGGTTCTCAAGTTTATTTGCTTAGAGTTGAACAAAGTAGTCACTTATGAATATTTCAGTTTCCTCTATATCTGTGATTATTCCATTATTCCAACTTCGTACTCTTGTGGTAGCTCTCAGTTCCCCACTTGATAAGATGACCTAAAGGTTAATGATGATATACTTTAAAGTTTTCTTCAAAGAAGGAGTTCTTGGATTAACATAATAGTTTTTCATATTTTTTTTTAAATTTATTGTTGAATGTTTTTTTATATATGATTCTTCCCTTCTGCTTTCCTTGGTATCCTTTTTTTTTTTTTCCCAACTTGAGTCTTATTTGTAAATAGAAATTTTTCAGCTTTCCCTTTGTTTGTATCATGTCTGATGTACTGATGAGTAAAGTCATTTGATAATAATCAAGTAGATTTGCCCAGTTGAGAGATCTATTGTTCTGTGAAGAAGATAGTTGAATGATCTGTTGTTTGGATAAATATGTTTTCGGGGAGTCTCTTAAGCAATAAAATTATTTCCAATAATTTTCTGCCCTTCCCACTGAGAGATTGTATTTTGTGCTTCATCGATATCAAGCTTGGCCATGTAGCTTATTTTGGACAATGGAAGGTTAACAGGTGACCTGTTGTGGGATTCGGCCATTGTGGAATTCTGTCATTCCCCTTTACTCTCTGCCCCAAGATCAGTATGCTCCATATTGGGGCTATTCCTTTGTCCAGGGTTTCAGAATGAAGAAGACATGGAATAGAGTGGAACCAACCAGCGAAGGACATGTAACGGGAGCAAGAAATTAATCTTAATGTAATTACTCCTTAAAACCAGTGGAAATGACTTGCAATCATAGCAGCATAATATATCTTTATAAATGTTGTCGCTTACAGAAGAAAAAAAATAGTCTTCTGTAACCATCAGATGTATAAACATTATGAGATATGAAGATAGTTTAAAAAATCCTTCTAAATAAGAAAAAGAACATATTCTAACTTTTTTCTTAAAAGTATAATCAAGATGTCAGGTAGTATTTATGAGATATTTTAAAATATGCATCTTAAGAATTGTGCCTTTGTTTTAACATGTGTTCACATAATTTTGCAATTATTTTAATATATGTCTTATAAAACACTATTGGTAGATCTAAGAACAAGAAACATAAGATGCTAAAAATATTTGAAAATAGTATTTTTGGTTCAATACCCCTTGCCATACATTGTCATTATTTTATGTGGCAAAGCTGGCATAAGTGAAAATTTGGTTAATTGTCTACTTTTGTTCTTATATCCCCAATTCTCTATATGTTAGAACAAATCTGCGTTTAGTATGCTAATCTCTGAGTAATCAAATATGCCTAGGCAAAAATAATTTGCCAGGAAACTGTAGCTGCAGACCATATGATTTGCATTATTGGTACTTTCCATGTAATAATTCTACACATTGTTATCATTAGCAACACTATTTCAATCATGAATATCACCAAGTTCAGAAGAAATCATTTCTGAATTGTCTCCATTAGGCCATGATCAAGAGGAAAAAATACAAGACTGAGTTTTCCTTTAGTGTTGTATCTGACATTTTTAAATAGACTCATTTTCTGTGGTTTCATGTAACCTATTACATTTGTCACTGAATGGCAAGGAGGCCTGTCTCTCATTAGCACTTCCGCTAGTACTTGAGAAAAATATCCTGGGAGAAAAAAGATTCAATTTTCTTCCCCTGATTTGGAGGCATTTGATTTTTTTTTTTTTTTTGAGAATTTCAGTGAATATCATCTCTAATTGTAGTTGAATACCCCTCACCACATGATGCTTCGAGATATAACTAACATACTATCCACCTAGAAATATGTTTCTCTTTGATCCTAAAAATGACTTTTGATTAAAAAATTGGCTCTCCAATTTTTTATGTTAAGAGTGAGATAGAATTTAAGTGGTCCTGGGGGAGACTGATCTATAAAAGGCATAACGAAAGAATAGATGAGAATTAAATCTGTTACTTTTTTATCCACCTTAATTTTGGGGGCTTGAATACAGTTTTTATGTGTATTCAAGCCCCAAGATTCCCTGAAAACTTACACAGATTTGGAATGTGTTTATAATGTGTGTGCGTTTTGTCTTTGCAAAGTTTTTGAAAGTGATTTTAGCCCAATTATTTGCTTTGCTCCTCCTTCTGTCCCTCCTATCACCAGAGATGTCCTTAGCCATCTGTTAGTGACTATTGGGATGAGCCACTTAGGGTGAGACAGAATTCTCCTTGCACAGCTCACTGACGAACATTTCCTAGTGTAAATGCTGAATGATCTTTCAGTTGTGAAAATCAGACTGTGTCACTTTCATGCTTAAAATTGCTCATCAGCTCCGTCTTAAAACCCACACTCCTCTATCCAGCATGCAAGGTCTTCATGAGCTGGCCCTAATATTCCATTCTGGCCTCATCTTACCCCTCCAGGAGTCTATCTAGAGATTCTTTACAAGTTGTATTCTGATTCTTCTGTCTTTACACATCCTATCTGTGTGGCTTAGGATGTTTTTCACCAACTGGGAGGCTAGTTAATACCTTTTGTTCCTTTCGTTTTAGCTCAAATTCCAAACCTCTTCTGCGAAACCTTTCCTGCCTGCCTCAGGCATTCTCCTCCAGAGTTTCTACTGTACTTTGTATGCACCTGATGAAGCAGAGATGGCTAATTTACTGTCAATCCAATATCCGTTCTCCCCTCCTTCCCTCATGAAAGAATCTTGATTTTATTTGGAGTGACGATACACCCAGTTCCCAAACTTATTGTGACTAATTAATCAATCTCTGGCCAATGAAATACAAATAGATGCTGAGTGGGACTGCCAAGAAATCTTCTCGAATGGAGGAGACAGCTGGCACCGGCCCTTTCTGTCTTTACATGCTGACTGGAATATGGATGTATTGGCTGGAGCTCTAGCATCCATCTTGGACCACGAGACTCCCTTGAACATGAACACCACACATCAGAGATGGTGAGGCAGAATGAAGGAAGAATTAGAGACTGATGCTGTAAAGCTGCCCTAACAGCCTTAGACTTTGGACCTCTGAATTTCTTTCGCTTGAGAGAGATTTATTTATTGTGCTTAATCTGCCCTTAGTTAGATTTTCTCTTATATGCACCAACTCTAATCTTGATTAATACATCTGTACTATAGCAATTACCAAAATCTATAGTATCGGTCTATTTCTATATGTATTTTTTCCACTGTATTATTTCTCAGTAGAAGTGCTGAGGTTTCTGTGTTGTGTTCTAATATAATATAAATATCATACTAAGTCCTTCCAAGGCATGACTCTTGGATTGGAGATTGGGTGAGGGTAGGGTAAAGTCTTTTCAAAAGTTTATTCTTGGTGTCAATCATACAGATAAGAGGCAAATGTAAGGTCAGAACAACTGTAAAGGGGAATTCAGCTGATAAAAGAAATAACTGGGCCTTTCTCACCTTCTCTGAGCCTGAATTATGAGAAGTCTATGTTTCTATAAGGACGTTTATGGGTAAAGAGTGTTCAAGGTTGTCTTGTTATCTCTGGATGAGACCTAAACTGAGTGGAGCATAGTGGATCACAAAGTGAGAATGAGTAAGTCATAGCTTATAAGCCAACTTATTCTAGAGGTGTGATGCTCTCTTTGTATATTTTAAGCCACATCTAAGTGTTATTCAGGAGAGCCAAGGTAAGAGACTGTGTCCATTGTGGACCTGAGGATATGCAGAGTCCTTCTGAAGTCAGCATAATGGTAGCTGCAAAGAATGAACCAAGGACCATAGGCATAAGGGAGAACGCAGGAGGAAAGAGCGAAGAAAGAGTGAGTCAAGGGGCCAGCCACCCCTTGCACCAAGATTGCCTGCTTCCAATGCAAGATCCTCCATTAAGGGATGCTGAATTTTCCTTCAGCCATGAACACATACAATAGTAGTTCTGGAAGGGGACATAGAGGTCAGTTAGTCCAACCCTCTCATTTTACAGGTGAGGAACTGAGACCCACAGAGGTTATGTAAACTCACCTATGTCAGTGGCAGAGCCAATTCAACGTTCTCTCCACTATGCAATATCAATACCAGGTTATTGAACAAATAAGTTTTCAATGAAATAAAATAAATTTAAAAAATTGCATTTGTGCACTTTTATGGAGAAGAAATTCACGTTGTTTTTTTTTTAAATAAAATTTGCAAGGGCATCTATAAGCTATGCATAAATGGTAAATGTTGGGAGGATGGCAGTTTCCATGACAGCTTCACCTGTTTTCCCAAGCTCCTGTGAATGAGACTCCAGTGAGTAAGTCTCCCTCCCCACCAACTGCATCTACCCAGTGGTTTTCTCTTGAAGGAAAGTAGCTTTGATTCTCATTGAAAACTTCTTCCTTTGCTTTGTCACCTTACTTGTACTTGAGGTTTTGATGAGAAAATACCTTTACTACCGTAGGTGCTAATTCAGAGGCATATGGATTTTCTGCATCTGATTCTACCTGCCCACAGATGAAAGTTTGTTTTCATCACCATTGATTGCACTGAAGGGCCCAGTGCTCTTCAGTCAGTTCTGATAAGTTTTTGTTGTTCT